AAGGCAGGGGGGAAGGTAGGGGTGCCGGGGCAGGGGTGGCCAAGGCACGGGTGCTGGTACAGGGGGCCAAGCTGTGCCGGCCGGGTCCTTTGTGACGTGGCGTTCCAGGCCACCCGCCCGCACAGCAGCAGCAGTAGCCGGTGGTGTCGCACAGCACCGGGAGGATGAAGGGCTACCATCCTCCGGTGGTGATCGACAACGGCTCAGGAATGATCAAGGCGGGCCTGGCTGGGACCCAGGAGCCCCAGTTCGTCTACCCGAACATTCTGGGCCGGGCCAAGGGCCACAGCACCCGGGCCGAGGGCATGCCAGAGCTCAGCGTTGGGGACCAGGCGCAGGAGAGGAGGAACTACTTGTCCATCAGGTACCATCCGCTCCCTGCGGCCTAGGGTACTGAACATCTAAAGATTGGACAGTGTTTGTTCTCTGTATTTATACAAGAGTATTCAAACCTTTAGTTACCGTTCATAGCATACAAGTCCATGTAAGAACATGATTTAATTTATTGCGTTAACGTTCGGAGTGGTCTATTTCACTATTACAACTGTAGTATAGTATAATTGGCATTTTCCCAGCTTTTTTTTTTTTTTTTTTTTTTTTTTTTTTTTTTTGGTCTATTTGAGACAGGGTCTTCTTGTAGCCCCAGCTGGCTTGGAACTCATTATATAGGCTGGCCTTGAACTCACAGAAATCCACCTGCCTCTGCCTTGGGAGTGCTGGGATTACAGGCAAGCCCACCACTCCGGGCCTTTTCTCAGTTTTTCAAGTCACTTCTCTAGAGTAGGTGTGGTAATGCAGGCCTTTAATCCCAGCACTTGGGAGGCAGAAGCAGGTGGAGCTCTGCGAGTTTGAGGCCAGCCTGGTCTACATAGCAAGTTCCAGGTCAGGCCAGCTAGGCTACAGGGAAACCCTGTCTTAATAAGATGAAAAAAGAAAAAGAAAGAAAGCAAAGAAAGAGAAAAAGAAAAAAGTCACATTAAAGGTTGGCCATGGCGGATCTCTGTGAGTTCAAGGTTAGCCTGGTCTGCATATCAAGTTCCAGGCTAGCCAGGGCTCCACAATGAGACCCTGTCTTAAAACAAAACAGCAAAAACCAAGGCTGATGTATTTTCCTGCTCTCCCCACAGCTACCCTGTGGAACGCAGCCTCATTACTTCCTGGGAAGACATGGAGATCATGTGGAAGCATATCTATGAACATAACCTGAACCTGAAGCCCAGTGATGGCCCAGTCTTGGTAACTGAACCAGCACTGAACCCACTGACTAACCGCCAGCGCATGTCTGAAGTGTTTTTTGAAGAACTGGGTGTCCCAGCGTTTTATATATCCATCCAGGCTGTGCTGGCTCTCTTTGCTGCCGGCTTTACTACTGGGTTGGTGTTGAATTCAGGGGCCGGTATTACCCAGTGTGTGCCCATCTTTGAGGGTTACTGTCTGCCTTATGGTGTACAGCAGCTAAATGTGGCAGGCTTTGACCTCACCAGCTACCTCATGATGTTGTTGAAGGAGAATGGTGTCATGCTACTCAGTACTTCGGACAGAAAGACCATTGTAGACATTAAGGAGAACATCTGCTACGTGGCAGTGAACTATGAGGAGGAAATGGCCAAGAAACCCAAAAGCCTAGAGAAAGTTTACACACTGCCTGACGGGAAGACAATCAAGCTCCAAGACCAGGTGTTCCGCTGCCCAGAGGCCCTCTTCTCCCCCAATCTTCTGAACATTAGTGAACCTGGTATCGATAAGATGTGCTTCAACAGCATAATGAAGTGTGACACAGACCTCAGGAATTCCTTCTTCTCCAATATTATCCTCGCTGGAGGATCAACCTCTTTCCTGGGTTTGGACAAGCGGCTGGTGAAGGATGTAGCAAAGGTAGCACCTGCGAACACCCCTGTGCAGGTTACAGCTCCCCCAGAAAGGAAAATATCAGTGTGGATGGGAGGATCTATTCTAGCATCCCTGTCTGCCTTCCAAGACATGTGGATCACTGCTGCAGAATTTGAAGAAGTGGGACCCAATATAGTACACCAGAGATGTTTCTGAAATACAGATAAAATTATGAGAAAAAATGTTTTGAGTCTGTGGAACAGAATACTTTGGATATAATGTCTTTGTGGGAGACTAGAAAACATTTCTGTTATTGGGATGGCCACTTATTTTGTTGTGTTTTGTTTTGTTAGTACTGGGAATTGAACTTAGAGTCTCACACATGCTAAGTGCTCTACCACTGAGTTATATCCCCAGGCCTCTTTTTAACATTTTATTTTGAGACAGCATCTTTCACTAAATTGCCCAGGCTGGCCTTGAATTTGTAATCCTTTTACTTCAGCCTTCCAAGTAGCTGAGATTACAGGCTTGCACCATAGGGCCTGGCTTTCTTCTTGCATTTTTTTTTTGATCTTTTTGAGATGGTCTCCCTGTAGCCCCAGCTGTCCTGGAACTCACTATGTAGATCAGGCTGGCCTTGAACTCACAGAAATCCGCCTGCCTCTGCCTCCCGAGTTGTGGGATTAAAGGCGTGTGCCACCATGCCTGACTCTTCTTGCATTTTTATAATGGAGCAGAAATAATGTAATAATAAACACTAGTGTCTATTGATAGTAGAACCAAGCTGAATGCTTTTTAAAGAAAAAAAAAAAAGCCTGATCCCCCCCTCTCCCAGAAAGACAGCAATTTGTGGTACAATGTTCTATTATTTCTTTTATGTAAAGATTTATTATTTTATTTTTAATGCTGTGTGTATGTGTGTGTGGACCCCCTGGAGCTGGAGTTATAGACAGTTGTAAGCTGCCAGATGGGTGTGCTGGGAAACTGAACTAGGGTCCTCTCCTAGAACTGTATGTGTGCTTAACTGCTGAACCATCTCTCCAGCCCTATTTATTTATTTTTGTTACACCATCTTGCTAGGTAGCATTTGCTGGCCTGACACTATGTAATCTTGGCTGGTCTCAAGCCTCCTGAGTGTTGAAATTCTATAAGGACAATTTGTAATCTAGTGTGTACCACTGTACCTAGCTTAAAATAATCCATGTGTTGAATGAATAATATTTAAGGATAAGTTTAAGAAATGAAAGTTGCTGTAGTGATTAACAACTTCATAACAGAGGTATACTGTCATGGATAGTGTGGTATCAGAATGGCAGATGCTGGGGCTGGAGAGATGGCTCAGCATCTCACCAGGGACCCAAGTATGGTTCCCAGAACCATGGGTGTACTATATTGGTTGTGGTGGCTAACAACCATTGTGGCCTCTGTTGGGTATTGCATGACATAAGTGCACTTACATACATGCAAGCAAAACACTCATACACATAAA